GCTTGCTTGTCAGCCCAGGTGGTTTTATATCATGATTTATAAATAATAAAACTTCCTTTCCTTTTACTCAGCCCATCAGATTGTGCTATGAAAATGAAGAGGTTAGAGTCTCCACCAAGAAAAACCACATGTGAAAAACACAATCAGTGCTCTCTGCTGGTGTTTCAACGCCCTCCTCTGCTCTCTCTGCAGATTTCAGCGCTCGAACTGCTGCGACAATGCTGCCCTCTTGTGCATCCCAGTGAAGCAGCTACTGAGAGAAAAGGACTCCAGAAAGCCTGCGGAATATTTTAAAACTTTAATATACAGTGCTTCATAAATCATTACTAAAAACACAGGTGGTAAAAATCAAATCAAAACAAATAAGTTACACTGTAGTAAAAAGCACTTGAGATTCCTTTCTGTTTTTCATCATTAGTGTGAACCCCATATGAAAATAGCATAGAAAGTATGCAAACATAGAATTCCATTCATATATATATTTTCTAATCTTTTAGCTAAATAAACCTTTTTTTGTCCCCTTTAAAATTCCCTTAACCAACTGGAGGATGTGAGGAGAAGCTGTGTGTTTGTGGCCTCGATTTCATTTCGTAATTCTGCTTTTTTTTTTTTTTAGTGACGCCCTCCCCTCCCCTGACAAGAACCTCAAGACAAGAAAAAAAAAAGGAAATATAAATTAACAAAACATGTGAACAGTCTGCAAAACTTTTTTTTTGTTTTGTTTCCATTGACTGGCGTACAGATAAACATTTGACCTCGAAGCACTCATACGTTTCTAACAGGACGACCCCCCCTGCAGACACACACACAAACACACACACACGCTCACAAACAGTCTGTGCATAGAACCCAGGTTTAACTGGTGGAGTAACTGGTAACTGGAGCCGTTCCTCCCCTGCTCCTCCAGCTCCCCACTGCGGTTTGTCCTTTAAAGGAAAAATAACCCTTTAACCCACGCGTTGCTACGGCAACAGAAGCTGGCTCCGGGGCTGAAGGGCTCAACGCGGAGATATGTGGCGATAGACGGATCAAAACACGCCGTTTCCATGGTCCGATTCAGCGCCTCGTGTCAAGGTAAACAGATAAAAGGCGGCCGTAGACGCACCGCACGGCCGGAGAGGTGATAAATATCGAACTGATATTGGTCTTGAACAGCCACGTTTGACAGGAAAATCAATACGAATCACCTAAGCTGTCTTATCGCAACTCTATCTGCATTTATATTTCACTTTATTTGCACATTTTTTTCCATTACAAGCCGTGTCCTTCAGCAGCAGCTGATCCCACGCTGCCAAGGTTCCAGTGGAGCGTGTTAGTGCCACAACAATCTAAATGCAGGCTCACACTCTTTTCCATGTTGGCAAAAGAGGGGAACCCATTTTTCTTCTGACATATCAGGTTTCAATTTAGAGCTACCACAATATCAGCAAACGGGGATTTCAGGGCGAGAATTTGATATGATATGGCACCGAGCTCCTGCCGTTTTTTTTGTCACTGTGCGAAGTGCAAAGAAGTAAACTTTGACGCAGGTTGAAAAAGTAGCTAGCTGCTAGTAAAGGGCAGAGAAAAGCATTTCAGCATTCAGAATCCTTGCAGTGGCCTCTTTTGATTCCTGTTTTTTGCCAGTAAATTATTTACCAACATCAGTGTTCTGTGGAGAAGTAAAACTGTAAACCGAAGACGAGTTTGACATCCGGCACTCAAAAGCAGGAAGAATAAAATGCAAGTCAGCATTCAGATGCTCGTAATTGGCTGCGAAAACGCTTAAAAGCAAAGAAATGAAGAGTGCGGGCGTTCAGAATTCACTTTAAAAACCTGCTAAATTTGAATCTAGTTTTGCACTAAAGCATCCGATCAACAACAGTCTGTGGAAAGTGCCAGGGTTCAAATGCTGAGGTAGAAAGTCATGATAGAAGCTGACATCTGGTTCGAAAAATAAAAGCAAAGAAAACTTGTGTTTCATTTGAAATCTCCTGTTAAAACCTGCAAAATCTGGACTAAGTTTGGTGAAGTCTGCAAGTTTGTTGATAAAGTAAATAATCTACCGACACAGGAGAGGACATGGTATAGACAGAGGGTCTTGTTTCAGTTTGTTTTGCGGCAGTCTTTCAAAAGCGTTCCCCTATAATCAGGAGCAAGTACAGAATATATAAAGTAAACTGCGACTGCGAGCCTGTCGTAAACACCGAAATGAGCTGTTTGTTGTCTTTCCCGCTCTGTTCTGTGTATCTATAGAGCCCTGCGGTTTGAACAGTCTGAGTCGGTAGCTCCTATCAGTTACAGGGTTTGACAGCGAGGCATCCCGAGCAGCCGGCTGATAGAGGAGGAGGAGGAGGAGGAGGAGGGGAGGCCTGAACGCTCAGGTATAAGGGGGTCAACTTGTTCTATTGCACATACATTTCTGCCTTTTTCTTCATTTCTGGCTTCCAAAAAGAAAAAAAAGAAAAAAAAAATCTCACAGTTATAAACAGGCAGCAAGTAGCATTGTTTTTGTCTTTTGTTTGTTTAAATAAAAAAAGAAAAAAAAAGCTACAGACGAAACAGAAAAAAAAAAGCGCTCAATTGAACTGCAGCCAAAACCAGAATATAATAATAATAATAATAATATTAATAATCATCAACAGGAATATTCACAAAAACAACAACAATAACCATATAGAGCTACACAGGCAGAAAAAGTAACATTTACCTGTATATATATATTCATTAAAAAAAAAAAAACAACAACAGTGTAAAATTGATTGTCATTTCGAGATAAAAAGCATCAGAACATCCAAGGCATCAACAGTGAGGAACAAACTGGGGGGGTAGAAAAGGGCAGAAAGAGAGGAGGTGAAGGGGATTCACAGAACTAAAAAGGAACAGAGAGAGAACCCATTTGGTGCACATCATGCGTCTGAGAAAAAGCTTTTGGCAGCTTCGAGTGCAGGAGAGCGACGAAACGGAGGCGAGTGCCGTCCATCCATCTGTCGCACAGCTCCGTTTACCGCCGCCGCCGCTGCACTCCGCCCGGCTGCCGAGATTTCACGTCGTCAAAACTTCATCCGATGCTGGACGGCCGGGATGCGGTTGAAGCAAGCGCGTGCTGTGGCTCAGAAGGAAGAAAAAAAAAAAAAGAAGAAGAGGAAGGGAGTCCGAAAAGTTCCACGCCTGTCAAAACGAAGCAGAGCGAGACTCAAAAAAGTGCTGAGGAAGGCCGCAGCTGGGAGTGAAGAAGCAGGACAGCGCCGAGACGAGCGGCATGGCTTTGATTCGACCGAGCCCTGTGACCAAGAGAGGTAAACTCTTGAAAAGCTTTTCAAGCGAGAGTAAAGGGGGAGTTTTGGAAAGCACGTTGTTGACACGCATACACTCACTCAGTCCACACATTCACAGTTAAACATGGGAGTCAATCTGTCCCTGAATGTGCCGAGCTAAAACGGAAGTCTTCCTGTTCCGCCAAATGTACAGAAAGTTCAACTGGAGGGTTTCATCTTCAGTCTCTTTTAAAGTTTTTTTTCTCCTCCCCTCTGGTGCAGTCAGTTTTGTCTGCGGCCTTCCTCTTACTGCCAGTCCTCGTCGTCGTCGTCCTCTCCGTCCGAAGAGTCGTCGTTGGTGCTGTCGCCTCCTCCCACCTGTCGCGTCCCGTTGTGCTGCCGCGCCGCCAGCACGGCGGCCGCTTCGGCCGCAGCCTTCGCCGCCGCCCGCTCCTCGGCCTCCTTCTGGCGCAGCGCCGCCGCCTTCTTCTCCTGCTCGGCGTGGCTCTTCATGTGGGCGCTGCGGCTCTTCACCTTGTAGAAAATTCTGCAGGGACAGAAGGGGAGAGGAGGTCAAGGAGGTGTTCTGCTGCAGAGGTCAGAGGTTAATCTTAATGCAGCTCCAGAGTGTGACTGTGCATAATGCAGCTACAGCAGAGAGAGCAGCTACCTCTAGATAGCAAAGAAAATGATCACAATCAGTTGGTTGAAGCCACATCCCTCCAACATATTGTTATGGACAGACAGTAAAAAAGGTTTTTATTATGGAGAAAACTACAGCAAGACTACAACTGAAACTAGAAACATTTGAGAGAAGATGGAAACCGATGACACAAGCAATATCAGGGCTCTAAATACCGCTCTCTCTCTTTTTAAAAAAAATGCATTTATTTTACTTAGATATGTTGCTTTTTGGTCGCTCGTAAATACTAGAAAGAAGTCATAATTCCAGATTGTTGTTGGTATCTGTGTAAAATATGTGTATTTATGACTGAAGGTAACATGATATGGACTGAGTGGGTTGTAAACTGTGGTGGGAGGTTTCTGTACATCTTCATCTGTTTTATCTATGTGGAATAAATAAAAAGTTTAAAAAAAAAAAAAAAAAATGTTCCCATGGTTGCATTGTGCGAGTGTAAGATGATCATCAGGCTGATGTGGACTCTTTGCTGTTGTGGTTGAAAATAAGACTTTTCCTTCCTCATTTAGTCTCTTTCTATCTGACGAGTGAGACGATGAGTTTTTCTGAATGAGGCATACGGGAGGAGGCTGGAGGGAGAGAGGGAGCGGTCCGACTCGGCACAGCTGATGATTAAGAAGTGCAGGTCCAAGCAGGGAGAAACCGACTGAGTCAGTCAGGAAGGAAAAGTAGCTGACTGCATCCAATGACTATGAAGGCTAAACTAATATTACCAGCAGTAAACTGCAATTAAATGAACACGATCGACTGCAGCATTGATGTCTAAAATGTGTTTTGCTACACATACATACAGCTCATACAGATAAAATCAATCAGTTTCAACTTGGGTGTATCTGACTTAAGAATGCCTTATTTCACTCACGGTTTCAACACATTTTGGTCGCATACTAGGACTAGTAGCGTTTCACTTTGCCTGCATGCGAGGCGTTTAAGGAACATCAGTAAATGTTATTGCCCATCGATAAGCAGATGATCGGCAAGTGTTCAGCCTGTGTAAACCAGCACTACCTGTGAGTTTTTATTTATTCCACTAATATTAGTTCCTTCAGCTTCAGCTTGTGCTAAAGTTTAAATACCTAGAGGGCTGTACTAATGCTGACTGCTCCAGTGAAAAAAAGTTACTTTTAACTTTAAGCGATTAAATGATTAGTTGCTCGAAAACATTCATCATGTCTTCTTAGTGATAATATAATGTTCAGGTTCTCTATTCAGACATGAATAGAGAACCTGAACATTATAAATGATTAGTTGTCAACTATTAAATTAATCATCAACTATTTTGATGATGGACTAATCCATTTGAGTAATTCTTCTAAGAAAAAAAAACTCTCAGATTATAGCTTCTTAAATGTGAATAGTTTCTGGATTCTTTACTCCTTTATGGCAGTAAACTGAATATCTTTGTGTTGCAGATGAAACAAGACATTTGAGGACATCATCTGGGGCTTTGGGAAACACTGATGAACGTATTTCACTATTTTTCATATTTTTAAAAACCAACAATTCATCAGTTCATTGAAAACAACAACCTACATGCTTATCAGCACTGGAAATAATTGTATAATCAAATATGATTGTCACTCAAATATAAATTCAAGAGCTGTCCAGAGACTGTGACTCCAGCTGTCGGAGTCATCGGACAAAAGATAAAATAAAACGTACATATTTGGGTTTTTAACAGAGATCGCTGTGGTTTGAAGTGTGCAGGACCCAGTGAGACAAATCACATGATCACGGTGATGTTCTGATCAAACACATCAGCTGAGACTGTGATGATGCTGAATATGAATATATAACTTTGATTTTCCACTAATTGCTCCAAAAGATGTACAGAAAGCACAAAAATAAATTAGTGGGAGATGCATTCATTTATGTAAATTACACTGAAATACTTAACAGATGCAGAGAAATGTTGGTGCAGCTCTACATGTCAATGATTCTCACACATTCACTCTTTCTAAATTCAGGACTTGCACACATTGCTTCATTGTGCTTTCCTTTGAAAACTGTGGTCAAAGTTCAGTATGATGCATGCAAATAAGGCCGGATAATACGTCTTAGAGTACAGACTCACAGCAACGACCTGGGGCTGTTATTTTCCATTATTTTATGACAAAATAGTGAAAAATGCATGACAGAATGTCCAAAATCATACAGTTTCTGACACAACAGTCCAAATCTAAAGACACTGATGTGAAGCTTATGTAAATTAGAGCAAAACTGAAACTACTGACATTTAGGGGAGATAAAGTTTGGCTAATCAGTGGATCTGCACTTGGTCTGAAGCTTAACATTTGATTGCAAATCTTTCAAAAGCAGCGTTTGGGTTTCCTGCAACACGACCGTTTCGACTCTGCAGTGAAGCACAGGCTGCGATGAGGACACTCAGAGCAGGTTCGGCTTTTAAAGAGCGACCGCGGCTCTCGTCAAGTCACCGGGTAGAGTTGCACTGACAAGAGGAGCAATGCGCCGCATCTACTGTGTTTCAGTTGCTAGGACACGCTTGGCAATAACACAGCCGGTGTTGCCAGAGGACGAGCTGTTATTTAATCGGAGCATGACAGGACGTTTGAATCTTTCAAACAGACACCGGGAGACACTTGCCTCTGTTTACCGATGCATATTCCAAGTGGGCAACAGCAGCACCAACATTTCCTGCAGAATTTCTCTATTTCATATATATATATACACACAGAGCTCGTCTTGTCTGAGGGCTCTTATGTAACCTGAGCGAGTGCTGCAGAAGTAAACAGAGCCGACACGTAGAACACAACAGCAGAGACACTTCCGATGGCTCACCTGCCACACTTCTTGCAGGGGAACTCTCCCTCCTGCGCGGTCGAGCCCTTGTTGCCCGTCGAGGGGCTCGTCCTGCGCGCGTTGCCGTCGTAGTTTCGAGGTTTGGAGCTGGGGGGAGGCGGGTGAGGCGGGTGGATGACCCGGGACAGCGGCTGCTCCCTCCCCACGTCCTCCTGGCCCTTCATGATCAGGACGGTCCCCGGCTGCAATAAAAAAAGACAAGAGGCGTTGTTAACATAAAAGCTGACTTTTAAGACAGTCGGCAGGAAAATAACGAGCCACTTTATGAGCAGCTTTTATGTAGGTTCGCGTTACGACAGCATGCAGGCATGTGGCAGTTAACAGGAGCGCACATGCAGCCGGATATTTTTCTCAACAACATGCAGATAACAAGGACAAAAGAGGGGGTTTTTTTGCCGAGTCATTGTTTGTCGTCAGACATAATGGAGTTAACACAAGAGAGGTGGACTCATGACAAGCTATCTCCTCCGAATCCCAGCGGGGGGCAGCAGATCCAACAGACATCCACCAAGTCGGCCAGAGTTCAAAAGGACAAACAAGTGCGACGAGGCCAAGTGAGGTTTCTAAACCAGGAACACGTAGAGGCTTGTTGCTAAACTGCTTATCTGTTTAGCATATTTACAGATAGCTGCTAGTATGAACCTTTAGCATCCTACCTCTACTGCACAGTGTTTAAATGATTGAACCGTATATCTCAGTGTATGTATACTGTCGATGTAAACACATTTTTTATATGCAAAGAAAACACGAGTAGTAATAACTGTGTGATCCTGGCTTTATAAAATGACACTTTTGCATGAATCAGAAGCAACATATAGTGCTTAGAATATAACCACCACAGTATTAACTCAATCACAAGAGATTTTAAGGGACAAAACATGGAACTCAAACATCAGTTCCTTTACTGGACTTTCTATGACCGTATTTTGTATTAACAACATTGTATTTTCCCAAATTGAAAACTACATTTTAAAAAAGAAGTGGCTGTCTGATATTTGAGCTTCTTGGAGACATTTCATATTGAATAACGTCATTAAGGCACATGTGTAAAGTTTTAGAGGACATCTATGTGGTTGTACATACAAGTTTTAAAATAAGGCGTCAAAGTGAACTGATTCCACTGAATGCTGAAAGAAAGAAGATGAAAAACTATACTTCCGTTTCATCCTCTGAACCCCAAAACCTCCATGCAGGTTTGAAAGTCGTGTTATTTGTTTTTAAAATCGCCTAAATTACAACAAAATCTGAAACATTTTCAACTTTCCAACTGTCCTTCAATAACTTATCTGTGATGTGCTGGTCCATGGTTTGAAACTGTGGAACGTCATCAAAATCACTTTATCCTGTGTGTCTTATTTAAAAAATTTTCCATAAACAGACCGAGTGAAAGCCCCTCTTTAAAAAGAAACAGAAACTTGTTTGCTCCTTAGTGACCTCGCTGCATGTGAGAAAAAGTTTAGGGGTTTTCAGCTGAACTGGGTCAAACTGGAGGCTGGGTTGACAAAGATATGAGGCAAGCCAGTTCAGTCACCATTTTTAGTAATTGGTAACATCTGGGGGTACCTGGAAAAATGTTGAGTCCAGGTTTCTTTATTTTTTGTAAATTAATTTAAAGACAGTCAGCTTTTATTTTATTTTTTTTCCTCTTTAATTCTAGTCATGGTTGTGCTGCTTGCATTGAGGTACAGGACTTCATATTGCAGTAAAAAAAAATGAGTGAGTAAAATGTGACAGGAGCAAGAAAACTCCTCCAAACTGCTGTGGGGTGGTTCAGAGAGTTAAACGTCCGCACACAGCTTCCTCTTGTGGGATGACAAACTGTTTGTGCTTCTTGTTTGGTTTGTTCATTCTGTCGCTGGTTTACACTCACATTCTCAGTGGACTGCAGCGTGTGTGTCACCCTGGTGGGGCAGACATCCTGTTTCCTGTCAGCTGACCCTTCCCACTTCCTGCTGTCCTCCTCCCGCTGAGGCTCCAGTCTGTGAGCGCCCTGCTGGCCCAACAAGCACAGATTGTATTAAGACGAAACGCCTCGGCATCGAGAACTAGATGAAAGTCGTGCATGCTTCACATTACATCTTTCTAGGGCATTGCTTTTAATGCGTCTACGCTGCTTTAAATGATATTCTGCAGAAGGAAAGGTAAACAAGGTTAATGCAAACTTGTTATGTAATCGTGCAGCTTTACCCAGTTACCATGAGAACCACCTAAACACCATGTGTTATAACTGGAGTGAGCTGCAGCCTTTTTCATGATACGATTCAGCACGCAACTGGTCAGTTAAGATATTCTGAGCGCTGCAGTTTCGGAACTCGCGCTGCGCTGTTTTACATCTAAAGAAAATGCTGGTATCTAATAATATCAGCCTGCAGTCATGCTCATTTCTGTCGCATTAACTTGAAAACCACAGCTCAGTAACTTGCTGCTCGAGAAGGTTTCTGCTGAAGTCTGGTTTTAGCTTTTAATAAAATAAATTTGAAGTAATTACTTTGTGCCCCGTGTAGCAGATTTGTTCTTCTTCACATCGAGGAACTCAACGTGCTAAACTTTATTTACATTTTTTTCTGCAGTGGAGATATTCAACACGTGTCTGACCTTGTGGTTCATCTCCTCCTCTGTGGTTTTGCTCTCCAAAGGCTCTGCCTCGCCGTAGATTAGCATCCCGTTGCGGCCCATCTTCACGTGTTTCTTGTACGTGTAGTAAAACTCCACGCACTGCGCCACTGTCTTCGTGGTAACCTGTGAAGCACACACACACATTGTTTAGGGAATTTTTCCTTAAATGTTACTGAATGTTCTGGAGCGTCAGAGCAGCTAACAAATACAGTCCTCTGCTGCTGCAAAGCAAACCTGCAGATGACATAGATTTTATTAAGTTTCGCTTTCACTCTGCATTATTTATGTGTGTTTATTAGTTCTGTGTATTTTGGCAACCCAGACTAATAATTTTCCACTTACATTTAACCTGATGTGAGAAGCTTTATTGCAGCTGGGCAGGTGCTAAAAAATTCATGACTGATGCATCTGCTATTTGTTTTCTTTTCTGGGTGTTCAGTCCATAATCGTATCTATACTGAAAAAAAATGGCCAAATTAAAGCACTGCAAGCATTTTATTGAATATATGTTGTGGACTGTTGTTTAATCAAATGGTGTTTTTTTGCTATTTATGTGAGACGCTGCAATTCTTGGATGCAAGGGGGAAAAAAACAGACTAATATTCTGATAATAAAGTGAAAACCAAACCAAACTGCATTTCACACTTTTGCTGTAAAAATGACTTTATTAAATATAGTTGCTAAAGGTTGTCTGTCAGCTACTAGAATGAAGGGTCTAATTATTTAGAAATGCTGTAAGAAGTTTTCAATAGAGCAAAAGATGGTGTCTGTAAACAACAAAACGCACCTCAACAAATCAAATCTAGAAGCCTTTAATTTGGTGGTTTGGCCAATTAACACTGTGCCACTGATATCATTTTGCATCGAGCTTCATCTCTAAAGTGGTTCAGACAAGAAAATTAAATCTTTTCGCACTGTCGAGGAAACGCGATAATTGAATATGACACGGCAAATAATCAGACCCTGTCCCAAGGTCTGTTGACTCCACCGCTAATAGGTGGCCTAGTGTCACCACCACTAGAGTCTCCTTCAGTTTGAAGGCGCACACGTACCTGTTTCTGCACCATAAAGAAGTCCTTCTTGTACGCGGTGATGCCTTTGTTGAAGTGGCGTCTCTCAGCTGCCGTCCAGCTGTCTGATCCTGAAGGAGGGAGGCAAAGGAGGAGAGGAGGAGGAGGAGGAGGAGGACAGGTAGAAAGAAAAGTCATTTAAAAACAGAGATGTGGTGTGTAGGTTTAACAACACTTCAAGAATCCAAGACTATCTATCCTTTCCACATTACATTCTGGGTGTGTGGAGACCTTGACAAGTTCGATCCCACCCCCCATCCTTCAAACCGCACACACACATTTAAATCACTGGATAAACAATGGCTCTCCTGTCTTCTGCTTGGGATTAACCACATGCTGTAAACCCCCTCCCTGCACCCCGTTGACCCTGACAATCCTCCACAGTCACCGACTACCCCGCCGCCAACACCAAAACACTCTCGCTGCTGCAGCTGCCACTGCTTTGAGGCAAAGCAGAGGGCTCTGAAAGTCCATCGCTGTTTAATGGCAACAAGACAGAAAGAGGGGAGGGGGGGAGTTGAGCTGGTCTGGGGGATGAAACGACAAATACGAGCACAAACATGATAAGATAAAGCGGCATCTTGTATGGAATCGGAATTTTGAACACATGATGAGCATCTGAATTAAAATGATTTAACCCTTTCAAACTCAAAACCTGACAGCTGGTTTGATGGGCATTTCTTCTTCTTCTTCAAAAAAAAAACACAATTTAAAGTGGCCCAAAACTGTCAAAACCTGTAGCATTGTTGGATTTTCATCTTTCCAACAGCCCTTGAATTACCTGCTTGTGCTGCACCGTTCAGTCAGAGAACTTAACCAAATCTAAGCCTGAAAATGTAGATTTTCATTCAAATAAATCTATTCTACATGCATCGATTTTTTTAAAAAAAGAAAGAAAATTGCCATAAAAACAAAGCATTCATCAGATTCTATAAAGGAAAAAACTGGAGCCCTTTGGCGCAGTTTTGAAGCTGCGACACAAAAGTTCAGGGACTACAGCTAAAGTGCAGGTCATGTATATGGAGAGCAGATAGGAAGTAAGTGTGGAAACAAATAAAAAATGCAAGTAATAAAATATATATAATATGTGGAGCCATTTTTTCTATAAGAGGCAACATATATGGGCACATGTAGCACGTTAATAAATTTTTTTTAACCAATTTTGGTGTGGCATAAACCCTAAAAAACCCAAATCAAAACAAAAATAGTAGAATTTCTTTGATTATCTAAAAAAAATCAACTTTCTTTTTTTCTTTTTTCTCTTTTTTAACTGATTCATAGCACACCAAGAAGCTGCTATGGGTGCAACAGGGTTAAGCACCAGCTGAGTGCTGTTTAAAGGATGCAGCAATAATCAAATAACTAATTATAACTCATCAGTATCACTAAATTACATTCCTTCTCCTTACATTAAAGCTGAAGGTTGTCTGAATGTTATTTTCGTGGGGCTTACCTGAGTAGTGGTAGCCGGCCAGATGGTGCGACTTGGGGAAAATCGGACTCCTCAGCATCAGCATGGACAGAGCGGCCTGAAAAACAAACAGCATTTAAATATTACCTGAAAGTTAGCAAACATGTTGCGGAAGCGGCGATAGTTATGAGCCTTTATACGGGCGCTCCCTCCTGCCAAACGGGCCGACTCTCGCTCTATTAGGTGCTCCGATTGTGCTTTATAAACCTGTAAAGCACACCGAGCCAAACAATGAATCAGTTGCTTACAGGTAACCAGGGACTGAAATAACCCCCGCTCTCATTTTTCCTGCAAGTCCGAGGTCCCAGAGTGTGTCATTACCATCATTATGCTCTCTCACTGTTAAAATAAGAACCAACTTTGTGCTCTTTGAAAAAGCACCCGTTCTGACTTTGCAGGGAATATTGGAAGACGGCAGTTTGAGCCGGACCGCTGCAGAGAGTGGGCGCTTTGACAGCCCCCCCACCCCCACCCCCTCGTAGTTTCCTTGACAACGTTGGACCAGTGCTGGTCGCTAAGGGCCTGAAATCTCCACCAGTAGCACCATAAAGCACGCTGGCAGGCTGCGAGTCAACCCCTGCTCGCACATCTTCAGTAATGGAAGGTATTGATTTAGGATCACCGTTTAAGTCGGTGCAAAGACGACTCAATGCAAACTGCAGAGCTCTGTTTTCTCTGTGAATCCAAGAGTCTGTGGGAGAATGTCAAACCACTCGTCCATCAGTGGATCCTCTGTGAGTCTTCTTCACAGGACAAAAGCATTAAAAACATGACTTTTTCACACTAAATGTCGAAGGTTAGGTCTCTAAACAAGTCTGCAACCATGTTTTTTGTTATGTTGCTGCAATATTGTATGATATTGACGGTGCAATAGTCTTTCTATGTACAAAATAACCTCCACATTTCCCCCCACTGAGAGAAATCTCTGCAAAATCTGAATTTCTCCACACAGAAGACTCTGCAGAACATCACCAGTACCTTATTCTTCTCATTCTTCCTTCAGGTTTTTGTACTTTTGTCCAAACATTTTTGCACTTTTATCTTTTGCTGCTGCAAATTTTCCTGCCATGGAAACAATAACAACGTATCTGATCGCATCTTTTTTTTTTTTAAAATGCTGTGACGCACACAGAAACCAGTGCTCAGATAAGATCTATAAATAAACTAAATTATCTTTGTTGTTGTTACAGCAGAATATGAACAGGCAACCATATTAAGTTATTTTTAATTAAAAAATTATGAACATTTGGTGGCCGGAGCTTCTGAAAAGGAAGGATCTGCACAATAACTTTCTCCTGTGACAAGCATTTATTATCGTTTTTGACATCTTATAATACATTTTAAGCAATGCATGTCAGCTCCACTATACTTGGGTTACAGTCAGTGGTAATGATCGTAAGCTGCAGCCCTTATTATCATCACTATTTAAACAAACTTTACTAACAATCATCGTGGTTGATATTCTGAGATGCTGAGGCCTTTGAATATCCCAGCATCCCTCTGCAGCCACGTGCAGCTCCAACCCTCCCACTACCAACTTCTGCATAATCCAAATAATGCATTTATCTCCTGCTGGTATTTTGATGGGGGTGACGCGACCGGGAAAGAGCCACTAGAGATGCCGCCTCACAACATTTAACAGCGACCACTATTCGACCTCATTACATCAACGAGCACGGAGCGCGTTTGTTCCTTCTTTTTTTTTTTATTTGCCGTTTACCCTGTTGCATTTACTCATCATCGTACGGCGAGTTTTATTTGAGCGGTGCAACGTGTTCTACCTGTTCTACACAGCTGGAGCACTAAATCCACTGCAAAGCTCAGCTGATGATAACTTCTGACGTAATCTGTCAGTGAGGCAACAGGTTAGACGGAGGGTGCGTCACGGCTGCAGCGTTGGGTGGAGCAGCCATTCGTCCAGTCGGATTTCTGAGTGACACCGCCGTGAGTGATTGCAGGGTCATGAGCTTTTTAGCACTTTTTCTCCCTTTGCATGTTTAGGATGTTTTGTTGCTTTGAAGTAAAGCGAAGTGTGTGAACCAGACCACATGCATGCAACCAAAGACGACGAATATAGCGTTGTACATTCAACCAGCTATCACATAAGAGTGTGTGCATCTGTCTTATATAACACAGTCAAACATGCTTAAAAATGTTATACCAGTCAACTGGGGCTGCAGCTATCAAGTATTTTAATTATTGATTAAGTTGCTAGCACTGTTGCCTCGCAGCAAGAAGGTTGCCGGTTCGCGTCCCGGTGGGGGCACCGGAATCTTTCTGCGTGGAGT